AAAAGAGCTGGTCAGAAGTTTGGAACACTGTGGCGAGTAACTCACCTCCTGACTCCTAAAAGCCTGCCCACCATCTACAAGGTACAAGTCAGGAATGTGGTGGAATACTTCTTACTTGCTTGGATGAGTGCAGCACCAACAACAATCAAGAAGCTTGACACCATCCATGACAAAGCAGCTCGCTTGATCGGCATTACATCCACAAGCATCCACTCCCACCGATGCTCAGTAGCACAATGTGTACTATCAACAAGAATCACTTAGAAATTCACCAAAGATCTTCAGACAGCACCTTCCAAACCCACGACCACTTCCATCTCGAAGGATAAGGGCAGCAGATATTTGGGAACAGCACCACATTCAAGTTCTGCTCCAAGACACTCTCCATCTTGATTTGGAATTATATCACCTTTCCGTCACTGTCGCTGGGTCAAAATCCTGGAATGTATCCCTAATGGCATTGTGTATCAACTCACAGCAGGTGGACTGCAGTAGTTCAAGAAGGCAGTTCACTGCCACCTTCTCAAGGACAACTTGGCTCGTACAACATATGTAGCCAGCCAGCGGCGCCCACGTCCCACAAATGAATAAAAAAAAAGAACGTACTTAGGGATCAGTAAAGTGGCATATCTGATAATTGTTCCTGATTGTGGGGAGAAGGATTGATTTGATCACATAAATATTTTTGAAAACATTTCATCATACGTAAAACAATAAGGAAACGCAGTTGCATCAGTTGACAAGATTAGTAAAAGATAACAGAGTCAATAAGAATGACTTGAAAGAGCTGTTGGCAGTTATCAAGTTACACATCTTTGAATTGGACTAGCTAACACAGTATTATTGGGAGAGTTAGACTCATTATCATTTTTAGAGAAACGATAATGGGAGGATTGTGAAAGACAACTGAGGAAGCAAAGAGTAGTCTGTAGAGATACATCTGAAGGTAGTACATTAAGTAGACCTGATGATGAATTCGGGGAGAATCAAGACTGATAAAACAACATCCTTATCTGTTGAACCGAGAAAAATAAATTCAGGTGGAATCAACCATTCCATATATGCTGGAAAAATATTCAATATAACCTAATGAAAGAAAGTGGATTTGGCTAATAGGATTGATTCCTAAACTACATGGACCAAACAGACTCTGCAGATAACAAAAGAGTCACAAAAACAAATTCACTCCCAAAGCCACTTTCAGAAGGTTGAGTTGATGCGGTTGGCATTGTCTCAATTGATCTATTGAAGGATTACTGGCAAGTGCGATTATCACCAAGGGATGATGAACTACCTGTTTGTCATACATTAAATGATTTATAACAACGTCAAGTGATTCCATCTAGATCAAAGAATGGCCCAACTACACCCCAGAGGTTTAAGGATCAGGTTGTCTAAGAGGTTGCAGCTATCTAGTGTACTTAGATAATGTTATGGTTTACAGTAAGACTGCAAAGAACGTGTGAGACAAGTAGATGAAATATTTAAGCAATTGTTATTGCCTGTATTAGTAATAAATTAGCCAAAGTGTATTTGTAAAGCTAGGATAACTTTACTAAAACATGATGTAGGATAAGGACAAGCGTTACCAAGGAAACGAAGGGGAAGGCTCTAATATAATTTCCTATTCCCAAAAGTAAACAAGAATTCATGAGATGAATCGGAATATGCGGGTTTTATTGGGAACTGTGCTCAATTTCCACTAGATATGAGAACCCTTCATGAGTTTCTTAAAGAAACAAGCTGAAAGTAAAATGGTAATCAGCATGTTCTTTGAGAAGCTGAAGGTATTCCTAATAAATTGGTCATGTCTGTTTTTGTTTACAAACCTTTCAAACTGCCGATTGATGCTCGTGCGTTTTGGGTAGTTGCAGCCTTGTTGCAGACTGATTGAGTCAAATGGAGAAGCCAGTGGGCTACATCTCCATTCAAAAAAAGTACCAGAAGAATTATTGTATTGTGTAGAGATTGTTGTTGGCTCTTTGATACTTTTAAAACTATATCCAGCATAACAACAGGAAATATATGTTATATTGATCGCAATTGACTTGCCTTCAATGAAAAGTGCACAACACGGAATGTGAGACCATTCAGATGACGTTGATTGTTGCAAGCACTTAATGTAATGATTAATCACATCGTTGGGAAAGATAGTTTAACTGCCTATATATTGTCCCAAATGTAAAAAGTTGGAATAATTTAAAGGTGTAAGAAATAGGAAGTTTGTATCAGACCCAGATGGCGGTGGTGGGGGTGGGGGTAGATGGAATTAAAATATGTAAGTCTTCTGCTTTGCAGTTTATCACGTATTTTGCGATGGCAAGCACTTTAGAACTTATGTTTCTTCTTTCAACGGGCGAAGCATCTACAGATTGCATTTTTATATTATTCTGAATTTTTTGATTATGAATTGAAATGGGGAAAGGCTGTTTTAAAAACAGAGCCTTGTGGAAAGCATTGCTGCACTTTTTTTAAAAAAAGCAAGTCACCCACCATTCGTTGTACTTGCTGTTTGTGCGCTGTTTCCTCAATCATTGTGTCTGTTTATTAGGGAGGATTTGGAAGCAGGTGTATGAGAAGAGGAAGATTCAGCCGGAATAAGTAACTTATTGGTCCATGAATGTGGCTAGTTGTCGATAAAGAAGGTTTTCTGCCTGACAACAACTATTGATTATCTGGCAGGCAGCTGAACATCTTCTGGGTGAGAATGAAACATTAAGGAGCAGCAAATCCTGACAAGCCAAAAGGATCATCTCAGTGAACCTTGAGGGCATGGACCCTTGAACTCCCTTCTCAGTCTTTCCTTCCGCCCATAAAACCCATGTTTGTGCGACTACCTGTATGTGTCTGTACACGACAAAATGGTATTACAATTTTATCTGGTAGAGTTATAAGTCGACTGTACAATTTACTTACAAGTAGCTTTGATGTATGCAGTTGTAACAAAATTTAATTCTTATTAAGGACATAAATCTTTTCCATGCTTCATTTCAACTTGGGCCGAAAACGCAGGTAAATTGGAGAAACTCCGTACTTTTGCAAAATCATGAAATTTCATGATGACTCCAGGAAAAGCGGGTCTTGATTTCTAGCGTCCTATTTCAGTGAAGTAAACACAAGTTAAACTACCTTTGAGTAGTACTAAATCACAGGAAGAAGTCTTGAAGATTAAAACGTGACTTTCTATTACTTAAATCTCATAAAGCTAATTACAGACGGATAATATGAACAAAAACATGTATAAACCATTTAAAATGCGACACGTTGGAATTACCAGAACAAGGATATTCGCAGGACCAAAAAAAAAATTTACAAGGTGTGACCAAGTTTTGGTCTAAAAGTTAAGTTTTGATTAAGGTAGTGGAGGAGCTGAGACGAAGAAATTGAACAAATAATTTTCACAGGGTTTGATCTAGATGGTAGACTGCATGACAATCCATGGCCTGTATTAATGGTAACCGAAGGCTACTGGAATAAAGGTTAAGGTCCGAGGAGTGCGTTGTCTGGACTCGGAGGCTATTCTCACAAAAACGTTGCAACAATTAGAGAAATCAATAATATTCTAATATGAAACAGACAGATAGAACCTTGAGACATCGGGAGATCAGGAATCACTACAGATCGCTTCTGGGTTTTCTTTTCTTTATTCATTCACGGGATGACGGCGTCGCTGGCTAGGCAGCATTTATTGTCCATGCCTAATCGCCCAGAGGGCTGTTAAGAGTCAACCACATTGCTGTGGGTCTGGAGTCACACGTAGGCCAGACCAGATGAGGATGGCAATTTCCTTCCCTAAAGGACATCAGTGAACCAGATGAGTATTAGAATGCAACATATATTGCAAAGTACTGAAATTACTGTAGTTTATGGACCATGGAACCATGAAGTCCTGTCAGTCGAATATTCTAGTTTATTTTTTTTAATGAAGAGACTATTCAAAAGAAAAGGAAATGAGGTAGGGACAATAGTATATGAGGTTTCAGAGAAGTATTTAGATCAAAAAGTTTCATAGTCCTAATGAACAGTTCTCATTAGAGAGAGATGACTGGTGGTTGGTTAACCTGATGGTCCCCGTGCCTAAGGCGATGAACGAAGTTCAGAAGGAGAGTCCTACATGGTAATATCAGTCGCTGCAGAAAGTAACCACACATGTTGCAAAACGGGCGTCCGACTAACCCAAACGAACTAACCCAAAGGTAAAATCACTTTCGTCCAACTGGACAATGGGGTTGCTTTCTCATCAGTGAGACACGATTGATAGTGGTTTAACCTGAGGATCACCACACCGCAGGCGAGGGGAAACTAGCTGAACTGGAACTAGAGACAATATTAAAGTATATTAGCCTCTGTATGTAAATGTCCAGCAGAATACTGCCATCAAAAGGTCATTCCCTCACTTTCACTTCAGCAATCTTTGGGGGACTACTCCTCCCACAACAATATTAGTCATAACACATCCCCATTTACTCCATGTTACCATGGCTATTTTGTATAAAATTACCAAAGTTGGAACACTTGCCCTTTCACCTCCTAACTCTGCACTTTCCAAGTATCCAAATGCATCTCCCTGATGATGCAGAATTTTACTTTTAATTCTTACAATCTAACTTATAGTATTCGCTGCTGATGATGAATTCGGTTTTTGTTTACATCAGTGAGACCAGACGAAGGCTGTTTGCCCACATTGTAGAATCTCTATGCTCTGACATAAGAATAGTACCAAACTCCTAGTTGTCTGCCACTTCAATGACCCAGGCTTCTGTATGCAAAACGGTGGCTCCAGAATAGTTTTTCAACAAGCTCAACGAAGCCCTACTCATTCTATGCTTAATTACTTCACAGCCCCTAGGAATCAACATTCAGTTCAATAACTTCACAGAATTACCTCTGATTTCCATTCTGTTTGGAATGCCCTACAGCAAGCCACAGGCCTGTCTTGTTTGTGTCTTGTTGGTTTTGCTCACAGGGCAGCAGGTTCATTTTCCCATGTTCACACCTACCATTTGTAGTATAGCAATGTACATATCAATTTTCCTTTATGATCATTAGAATTCCCTTTGTCTTTTACTCTGGGCACATTCATGATTATCTGTTCCATTCGCTCCTCCACATAATCTGACAAAGCATTTAAAAAATGTCCAATTCCACCTCTTACAGTTCTGAAGACAGTTGTCTCAAAACAAAAGTCATGTTTTTTTTCTTTAAAAAGTCCAAAATAACTGCGGATGCTGTAAATCAGGAACAAAAACACACCTGCTGGAAAAGCTCATCAGGTCTGGCAGCATCTGAGAAGGCAAAAAACAGAGTTAATGTTTCGGGTCCGGTGACCCTTCCGCAGAACTTCTGATGGTGATATATTCCACGTTTGGTTGGCGAGTGCCTTGCGGGGGAATTTGCACGAGGTGGTGTTCCCATGTATCGGCTGACCTTGTCCTTCTCGATAGAAGTGCCATGGGTTTGGAAGGAATTATTTAAAATTGTAATCATACTGAGTTTCTCCCAAGGAGTGTTAAGAATTTGCTTTGATTAAACAAAAGCAATTGCATGTTGTGAAAAAATAAAATATTCCTCGGGAAATGTAGAAATGGGGAGACAACGCGTTGCTGGGATTGAATGACAGTAAGCATTACAGTGCCTTGCTTGTCCACAATATTATATTATATTCGGCCAAACTTGAAGGATGAAGATATCAAGAAGGAACTGGAAGAAAGGGAAAGGAGGAAGAAGAAGTGTAAAAAAATGGCGGTGAATCAGACAATGCTGCGAGCAAATAACTGAATAAATATGCCTGATATTTGAGCGATTGTGTGTGCTCGGTGTATGAACAAGTGAAGCACATGCTGAGTACGAAAGATGAAATATGTCGAAAGATCACGTTAGAGTCTATGTTCCAATAATGTTATGGAGGTGACATAGGGATAAGGCACCGAGATCAGTCACAAAGAATGTAATTTGAGTTATTTAAAGCGGTAGAAAATCAAACTAAAGCTTAATTGGAGCTACTCAAACAACTAACTCCAGTAACGCATTTCATGGATGCACCTTGAAATTGTATCACACTGAAACTTCTCCCTCATCTTTGTGTTTGTGTCATACAGTTAATCACATCGGTGTCACTAATTTATGTTGTACAAATGTATTTGTTATGATCTTTCAAAATGGTTTCTGGAATTCTTTCAGAATTTCAGCTTGCATTACAGAACTCGGATCATTCGTCAGGAAAATTAAACTTAAACTGAGTCAATAAGAATGTTAGGCAGATGCTCAATTTTTATCAATTTCATTTTAAAGCTGATAACATATTGCAACGTGACACGCAGCAGCCAAATCTATTAGATAGTTGCAATGCAATTCTTCTTGACTTATATGTCCAATCTTGAACCGAATATTTCAGTATCTTTGTCAATCTCTTGGAGCGGCGTAAAGAAATCCTAGAATCGTGATCTCGCATTAATGGCCGTAAGGGTGGCAAAGGATGTGAAGAGAGTCAAGAGAATTTGAATACGACAGAAAACACAACTCAGCTTTCATTGACAGGTAGATTAACCAAACTTAAAATAAATGAACAGGAGATTCAGGAGAAAATTGAGGAGTACATCTGTTTCACGCAATGTTGTTATAAAATAGAAGGTATTAACTAAAAGAATGCTGCAAAGAAATGTGGTAATAACATTCAAAAGGAAATTAATCACTTATGTGAATGGGAAGCAAAATCTCTGACAAATTATATGTTGTGTTAACCAACTTATTGTGAAACAACTTAACAGTTAACTTTCACCCTCCTCCTTCCCCACCCCCACCCCACCACGCTAAAAAAAACATTGCTTTATATCAAATCTATGTAAAGTAATTTATCCTTAATATATCCTGTTCAATTTATGGATAGTTGTTTTAGTTCAAACTGGTACAAATTTCCAAAAGAGAGTTTACTGAACCCTGTTGATATTCTGGATGTGTATAATGATAGCCCCGAAATTTCTCATTCAACTTTTCTTCTGCAATAAGGTTTATAGGGTCAAAAACGTTACAGACACAGGTGAATGCAACCGAGGTTTAGACATTATTCTTAACATTTTGGCCAGTTCAATCCACTTGTGATTCTTGCTCAGCAGAACAGTGAGGGCTGGAATGTCACAGGATATAGTACGATCCACTTCAACAATCTAAAACAATAACCAATTCCAAATCTGATTCCATGCTCACATGAACGCTTCAGAACTGTGATAACGGGGTAGCTATATTTGCATAATGGAAAATTAGGAACAGCCGGGAACAATTTGCTTAACTAGATCTTCAGCTACTAATCTTGCGGATACACGCATATATTGAAATAAAGTTTACCCATTAATGCAAAACTTACAACATGGGACTTTGCTGTTATTACCAATAATGGAACGTCTTTTAAATTATTTTCTGGTGCTTGTGTCCCGGGTGTCCAAGTCATTGAAACGCAAAGTAGGATTACAGGGCTTTAAGAAGAGTAAATTACTTTTTGATGACTCTGGAGATAAATTTATAGTGTAGCGATAAATTTCAGTTTGAGGAGACTGGGTGTAATTAAATGATTCGTTTGGTGCTGGCCTATGATTAAAGGTATCATTCAAACTTTGATTTGAGTAACAACAAATTGTACAACCATGGTCTTCAGCAATACTTGTGTCTTGATTGAACTTCAGAATGACCAGAAGAATTATGGTTACAAAAAGCAAAAGGGAAGTTGATCCTAATATAATAATTAAATAACGATTAAGTTTGAAAAAATATTTTTTCGACTGTCCATGACCGTCAGTTCTTTGTGTAGAATCTTCTGTAAGATTCGATAAAATGTTAAACGAGATTGTAACGGTCGTAGACAGGCTCGGCTTTCCATAATCCTTCACGATGACTATCAGATTTGTTGCGCTGATTTCTTCCTCACTTAAATGGTGCGTTGTCCTGATTTCCCCAGAGCGAAGCCCCACGGTAAAATGGTTTGGATAATTGAACCCCAACAGGTGATAGGAAAACCGCGAATTCTGACTAGAATCGGTATCAGTAGCGATTAATTTGGTGACCAAATAACCCGGATATACTGACTGTGGTAGAATTTCTGCTGATGCTGAACAGTTCCACGTTAAAGTTGAAACAATAACAGGAGCATTGTCGTTTTGATCCAAGATAACAACATTTATAAATGCGGTGCTGCTTTGTTTGAGAGATCCAGTATCCCGGACTTGAACTCTGATCTGAAAATGTTTCAGATTTTCATAATCAAAGGCACGCAGGGCGTAAATGATCCCATATTTAGAACTGACCGAGACATAAGATGTTCTCTGTCCCCCATCAATGCGAGTGTCCATAAGATAATGGACAATCTCTCCGTTAGGGCCCAAATCCGGATCCAAAGCCGTGACCGTGAATATAGAAGCACCTGGAGCATTGTTTTCCATCAGATATATGCTATATGAGGATTGTGTGAATCTCGGTGCATTATCATTAATATCATAAATGGACACTGAAAGTGTTTTATTTGCTGACAGAGAGGGATATCCTCCGTCCCAGGCTGAAATAGAGATGCTGTACGTCTGGACGGTTTCACGATCCAAAATATCACTTGTAACTAACTTGTAGCTGCTTCTCGATGTTCTTTTAAGTATGAACGGAAGATCTACTGGAATGTGACATTCTACTTGTCCGTATTCTCCAGAGTCTGAATCTATAATACTGATCATTGCTACGACTGTACCTGGAGGAGCATCTTCCGCCACCGAGTTGGACACCAATGTCAAGTCTAACGCAGGGGGATTGTCATTTGCGTCTATTAGCTCAACCATAACTTTCGTACGTCCCGCCATACCTGCTTCTGCGTTGTTCACTGCTTCTATATCAAGTTCATAAACATTTGATTCCTCAAAATCCAATATACCTTGAACTGTAATCTCGCCACTTTCTGGGTCCGGGTTGAACAAATCTCGAACACTTTGGGAAACATGGCTGGTGAAGTAATACTTCAGCTCACCATTCTTACCTTCATCAATGTCAGTAGCATGGACTGTTATCACTAAGATCCCTTTGGGTGAGTTTTCTGGTATTCTGCATTTGTATGTTTCATGATCGAATACGGGTGCGTTATCATTGATATCAAGGACAGTGATCGAAATCCTGCTAGCTCCAGATCTCAGCGGTACCCCACCGTCAATAGCAGACAGTATAAGTTGAAAGGACGATCTTTGCTCACGGTCCAACGGTTTCTCCACTATCAGTTCCGCACTTTTTGTCCCGTAATTCCGTGTCTGAACTCTGAGGCCAAAATGGTCGTTCGGACTGACCTGGTAGGTGTTGATTGCATTCGTGCCGACGTCCGGGTCATGCGCGCTCGCGACAGGGAAGAGCGCGCCTACTGAAACTGACTCACTGATCTGCAGCAGAAATTCAGGCTTTGGAAATCTGGGCGAATTATCATTTACATCTAGTATTTCCGCTGCAACGAGATGTATTTCCGGAGGATTATCAAGCACTATTTGCAAAGAAAGGGAACAGACAGAGCTCTGTCTACAAATCTATTCTCTATCGATCCGCTCCTTCACAAACAACATCCCATTTTCCAGACTTACTTCCATGTACTGTTCTTTTTCATCAGAGACGAGCCGAAATTTACAAGTCAATAATTCCCAAATATTTAACTTTAAATCCTCAGCGATATTTCCAACAAAGGCCCCGTGCTCCTGCTCTTCGGGAATCGAGTAGCGAATTTGTCCCGAAATCAGGTTTGATACCCAAAGTAGCAAAACAAAAGACGTCCTGCGCAATATTGCCATTGTTCTCAGACGAATGTTGCTGTAAAAATGTCGATATGTCGTCGACCGATTGTCCGAACCTGTTTCTTACACCGTATTATCAAGTGAATATATATTAATATGGAACGGAGGAAGGCAAACACCGACCCTAGGAAGATTTGCCGATAATGGCCGCACAGCATCTCAACAGGCAACGTCTGGCCCATCGCTTCTGTGTGTTCCTGTGTCTGGGATGCGAGGTTCTCTAGATCCCTGTCTTCTGATCTGTTTCTTATTGGTAGACAGCGACACGAACAGCCTCAACCAATAGCTGCAGCAATTGTTTTTAAAGTTGGACCGTTCCAGGATTCTTTGCAACAGAAGAGAAAGATTTACGAGTGCGCAATTTAACATCCTCTAAAAAAGCACACGTACAACCTAACAACTGATAGTTTAATGATATTTTCAGTATTCCTCGTATTCATCGGTGCAGTAGCGGAAAGACAGAGGGTCCTCACAATTACATTATCCATTTCATCATTGGTCGTCCAGGACACGAAACTTTACTGAGAACAATATAACCTTAATTATATCATCCGGTACATTGTGACTCAGTATCACTGATGCAAAGTGCAGACCTCTGTCTGGATCATTCCCACATGAACGACCGGCCATGATGTTGCTAGATCGTGTCATGAAAATCTGAATAATCTATTCCCATTCAAAGTTAAACTAAAATTGTCAACGTTATTAAAGAATTGACATATTCGAATAAAAACAAATGCCAGTGCATTCTTCAGTGGGGATAATTTTAACTATCATCGCATAACTATCATAATACTTCTCGTAAACAGACTAACGCCACAATTCTAAGTCAAAAGGAAATATAATTTGGTTGCTGAAAAACAGAAATAAACGCAGAAAATTCACGAAAAAGCAACAGGTCTGACAGCATTTGTACAAGGACTGACAGAGTAAATCCTTCTGGTAATGATCTTATATCATTTCTGATGAAAGAGCACGAAGACAAATTTTAACTCTGTGATTTTTGTTCCAGAAGCAGCCACACTTGCTGAGCATTCCTACGCATTCATCTTAGACAACCTGCGTCTTTATAAACATCAGCAGTTTGTCGTTTTTTTTTTCTGTCTCTCTTGCCATTGAGGTATCCAAACATGACAAACTGGTTCACAAGTGTGAATAATAGAATTAAAACCACGATCTATCCATATGAGTAGGTGATATAGTAGATTGTCAATTGTTTGAAAAAGAAACGTACTTTCAGGGAGATATGAATGATTCAGAGATATTTAAGAAATATAATTTACATAATTTCACAAGGCACCCATTGCTTGATAATTAAAATCTGATGTGCTTAAGAGGGCAAAATTGGTGGAGTACATATATCTCCCAGAGCTTTAAGTCTGGAAATAATCACAGAAATAGGGTGCCATGAGGCTTCAAGTTTTTTTTTTATAAACAAAAACACGTTTAGATTCTTTTTCTGCTCGAACAAGTATTATTAAAGTCATTAAGGAGAGAGGTGATATGTGAATGGAGGTTGTTGTACTTCCAAAGAGGTTTTCCTGCATTTATGCATGTGGATGATGGAAATAGGATTGCGTTGACACAACCAACTCAAGAGAAGGTACTTACGCCAATGAAACCAAAATACTGTGGATGCGGGAGATCTGAAATAAAACCACTAGAAGGTAAGGTTGACATTGTCCCATAGGATTATTTTCTCATTAAAGAGAGACAACTGGTGGTTTAACCTGAAGGGCACTGCGCCTCAACAAAAGGGAAGGGTTGAGAAAGAAGGTCTTTCATGCTTACTTCAGTTGGTGGAGGAATTGAACCTGTGTTGTTGGTGTTAGTCTCTAATGAAAACCCGTTGTCCAACCAACTCACCTAACAGACCCCGAGACTATATGATGCATCTTCTTCAGAAAAAATGTCATTGGACTCAAAGCGGCAGCTCTGTTTGTTTGTCCATAGATGCTGCCAGGTCCGTTTCATTCCTCCAGCATTTCTACTTTTAATTTCAGTGAAAACGGCAATTGTGTTGCATCTTTTCATGGATGCTAGTATCCTTTAAAAAAGGTCAATTTTTTTTTTCTGTTCAATGTTGCTCGTGGGAAGCTGATGGTGAGCAGGACTTGTGAACATGTGCAGTCCTACTGGGATATGACAGTCGTTGGAGTTCCGCAATTTTCACCCAAGAGCAATGAAACAATCAAGATGCAATACCAACTCAGAATGATGCTTGGCTTGGATTTAAAATACAAGTCATGATTTTCCCACCTATCTGCTGCATAACATGGTAGAAGTCACAAGTAGGGAAGTAGAGTTAAAGGAACGTGATCAAACTGTTGAAGTTCTTCTTGTATATTGTGCACAAGCTCAAGAATTATTCAATGGGAAAATAAACATAGATTATTGGAGGGGAGCGGTGGGAAAAGTACAGGATCTTTCAGTGAATTCCATATAAATAGACACATGTTGGAAGTGTTATTTCTCTGAAGCCATGAGAGCAAATGAGTTTGTGGATTTATGCTAAGTTTGCAATGTGCAGGGTGTCAATCCTTCAATAGCTGTTATATGAATAGATGTATTATGCATATGTTCCACCAAGTTGAAGCACCTGTGATACTGCTAATATTAGAGCTACTAATCTTCTCTTGTGATTGAAGTGAATGAATGTTTAAGTGTGTGCACGTAGTACCAAACATAAGAGCTGTTTTGCCCCGAATTGTGTCGAGCTTCCTGAGTGACTTTGGAGTTGCAGTTATCCAGAAAACTATAGCTCTGCCTTTTAGTTGGCGGGCAAATATCGGTGAATTAGTAGATGACTTACAGGCTGCAGAAATTCCAGACACAACATTGATTTGGGTAGTTGAGTTAAGATTGTAGCCTATGATAAAGCATATAATGATGATAAACCACATAATGATGATGGTAGAGAATTCAGCCATAGTAATGCCATTGAATAGAAAAGGAAATAGTCACAGTTGTCACTTTGGAGATTGTCATTGACTGACAGCACTGTTAATTATGTTAATTATCGCTTATTTACTATGTTAATTACCACTTAATAGCTGAAGCCTGGATGTTGTCCAGAACTCACTGCGAATCTATAAAGACAGCTTCAGCATCTGTGAAACTGCAAATGGTTCTGTAAATTGTGCAATATTCAGTGAAAATGTCAGTGCTGACCTTGTGATAGAAAAAAAAGCTATTGATGTCGCATTTGAAGCTAATTGAAAATTGGACAAGACCTTACAGAACTGTTACAGAGATTCCTGGAACTGAGATGATTGTCTTCCTACACCTCCAACTTCCTCTTTTGTGTTAGGTAGTTGTCGAATTATTAGGGAGTGGTTTACTTCATTTCCATCTATTCCTGTTCGCACATGTTAACAAAATGCTGCTTTAATGTCAAAAGCAGTCAGTCTCACTTCAAATCTGGAGATCAGTTCATTCACCTATTGTTTAAGCAACGGTTGAAATAGGATCTAGAACAGAAGAGTTGTATTGGAACGCAAATTCTTCACCTGTGCCAATTCTATCCTTGAAAGTATTTGTTTCATGCAGTTCGTATGTTGAATTTTAGAATGTCGTCACCATTGCAGGAAAGATATATTCCTCCTTGTTAGAAATTCAAAGCTGAATATCACTGTAATTTGTAGGCGTGACCTGTGAGCAAATCTTAGCATGGGACAGGAACTTTGCCTGCTACTGCAATTTTCCTTACGATGCCTGTGCATGTGGATGTATCGAATTCAAACATTAATGCCAATGGAGAGAAAAATACAATTAGATAATAATTGGAGGGATATCCTCTCTTGGTTCATTGTGTACCTGTGGCAAAGTTAATTTTAATTCATATATAAGAAGCGGGCATCATTGGCTGCACCAATATTATTCCCCATTGCTAACAGCCCTTAGGAATCAGATGGCGGCCTTCCTTTTGGAACCACTGCAGTTCCTGCAGTATAGTTCGCATACCTCCGTTAAAAATGCAATTTCACAACGTTTACCCAGAAATAGTGAAGGCAATTCGTGAATGTTGTTTGAGCTATGTATGTTGAAGGTATTCTGGCACACTCCTAACTTGTACCTCACGAAGAGTAGGCAGTATTTCAGAAGTCAGGAGAATAATTATTTGGTGTATGATTCCCTTCTGCTGACTTGCTTTGGAGCTGCAGCATTTTTATCATTCGTCCAGTTCAATTTCTGGAAATTGGCAACTGCCTTGATATTTGTAATAGAGGATTCATCTATGAGAACGTTATTAAAAGCAAGGGGAATTAGTTTCTGTCTTATTTGATATAATCATTGCCTGACAATAATGTAATATCGACGCTATCTGGTACTTCTCAATCCAGGCCTGATTGTTATCGAAGTCTTTTACGTTTCGACATAGACTTCACCACTATCTGAGAAATTACTAATTGAACTGAACGTTGCACAATCGTCAACAAATATCCAGGCCTTGGAACTTATGATGAAGTGAATGTCATTGATGATGCAGCTGACAATGGTTGAGTCCAGGCTACTGGCCTGAGAGACAACAGCATTCCGGTCCCGTGGATGAGATGACTACATTTGTCCTAAATGCTCGGTATTATTTCAATCATAGAAGATATTTTGCGTTCATTCGTTTGATACAGTTTTGATGGAGCTCCTCGATTGGCATTCAATTAAATGCAAACTTGATGAAGGCCAGTTATCTTAACTTCCTGTCTGGATTTTGGCTTTTCCTTCAATATTTCGACTAAATCTCCAATGTATCCACGGCATGGCTGAGCTGGTGAAATCAACCGAAAGTCAATGAGCACATTATTTTGGAAAAGTGGCTCTTGTCAGCATTGTCAATGGCACATTCCATAACTTGGATGATGATTGAATGTAAACAGATACAGCGACAATTAGCTCATTAGCGTTCATCCTGCTTTTTGTGGTTGTTACGATATATGGAGGACTTTCCATATTGCTATTTAGACTACAACTGTACTGGACCTTTTGTTGAAGAGCTGCTATTTCCAGATCACAACATTTCAGTGTTATTCCCCGAGTTTCGTTAAAACCCATTGTCATTGCAGTATTCCATTTTTTCAATCATTGCTTGATATCAGGTGGAGTGAATGGAACGAACTGCAGCCTGACGTCTGTAATAGATACAGCGCTAATTGGCTCATTACAATTCACCATGCTTTATGTGGCCGCCTGATCTCTGTCATTCTTGGGACCTTAGAAGAAATTGCACTAAACTTTCCAGTAGTCAATTCTGTCTGATGGCATTTGGAAATGCATCGGTCTTTTATGTTACATTGAAGTCTGGGTTTTCGCATCTTTGAGGATGGGGATAGCTATGAAATGTTATCCTCAGATGAATGGCTTAGTTGTCCATCATCATTTATGACTGGATGTGGCAGGACTCCTGAGCTTAGGTTTCTTCCAGTGAGTTCACATACCCTTGTCTATCACGAGTTGCTTGCTGCTTAACATACGAAAAGCCCTGAGCCATTTATCAGTTTGACATGTCATTTCAGTCATGCTTGGTGCTATTTTTGGCGTGCTGCCTTACTACTGTCTTCTTTAAACCAGTGCTGGTCAACTGCCTTGATGTTAATGGTAGAATGTGGGATACGTCTCGTTGTGATGTTTACTGATTTGGTTGGAAAGAAACTCTAGTGCTGCTGGTGACTCATAATGACTCCTTATGAGTGCCCAGTTTTGACTTTCATTTTTGTTTGAAATGCATTTTTTTCAGCATAGTATCCATGCACACTCAAAATGATGGAGTGTATCTCAAAGTAAAGGTGGCACTTCATCTCCATATGGGTTGTGTAATAGTCACAAACCCTAATACCGTCGTAGTACTGTCAAAGATAT